GTGAGGTGCGGGTCGGGCTCTTCTCCCGAGTAACCAGCAATAGGACAAGAGGCAATGGGCTGAAGTTGCCCCAGGGGAGGTTTCAATGGGATCTGAGGAAGAATTTCTCTCCTGGCAGAGTGGTGAGGGATGGGCCCAGGCTGCCCAGGGAGGTGCTGGAGTCACCAGCCCTGGAGGGGTTCAAAAAAAACCTGTTTCTATGTGGCACTTTGGGACATGGTTTAGTGGTCCTGGCAGTGCTGGGCTGACAGATGGACCTGATGATCTTAGAAGTCTTTTCCAATCTTAATGATGCTGTGAGCAGGGACATCTGCAGCTAGAGCAGGGTGCTCAGAGTTGTGTCCAACCTCCCCTGGGATGGTTCCAGGGATGGGGCAGTGACCACCTCTCTGGGCAGCCTGGGCCAGGGGCTCAGCACCCTCAGTATCAAACATTTCCACCTTCTCTCCAGTTTAACACTCCCTCTTTTACTTTAAACCCATCACCCCTTGTCCTGTCACAACAGACCCTGATAAAAACATTGTCCTCATGTTTCCTGTAGGGCACTTTTAAGTACTAGAAGGCCACCAGAAGGTCTCCCTGGAGCCTTCTCCTCTCCAGGCTGCACAGCCTCAACTCTCCCAGCCTGGCCTCTCAGCAGAGGGGTTCCAGCCCTTGGATGATTTTTGTGGCACCTTGTGATGTCTCTAGGATGCTTGCCCCATGTCCTCTAGAAACCAGAAGGTGTGCACCTGCAAGAGCTCTTCAGCACAGCAGGTTTCCAGAGACCCACCAGAGAACACAGCATCTCCTGCTCCCATCCCTTCTGCAAGAAAAAGGTCACAGGGGTTTAGGAAGAATCCAGAGGGGAAGAACTCCTGGCTTGCTCAGTCTCTGCTGTCAAGAACCAGCCCACTCACAGCACAAGGTTCCTCCAAACATCATGTGAGGTGAAGGGACAGAGCAGGGCAAGCCCCTGAGCACTGCTCTTGGGACCAGGGCTGTCTGACAAACACTTTAAGCCCCAAATACTGGAGAGAAAACTATGAAATTGAGAAGTTTCATCAAATTTTGCAGAAAGCCATGAATTGAAGACAACCTTTGGGCTGTGTGTTTAAACCAGTTTGCCAATGCAGTTTTAGATGGCAAAGATGAAAGAAATACTGGTATTGCCATGAGGAAAGGGGCAGGCAGGGCTCTGATCTTCTGGATCACCCCCAAAGGCAGTCAGTCACCTCCTTCTTCTCACAAATTATGGAGTCTCAGGTCCAAAATACAGGCTCAGGGTCTAAAGTCTGGATACCTACCACTTCTCTGCACACTTTGGTGTTTGAGACAAGCCTACCAAATGAACTCTGTTCTGTCAGGGTTGGACTCTCAATGTCCTTACACCTCAACACACTGAGTAAAGTTAGGACAGCAGCATCATCAAATCAAAACAGGCACATCCTTCAATTGCAGCTTCTGAAGTATTTAGACTGAATAAGGACAGCACAGGCAAGAGGAAATAAAGAGGACATGGTTTAGAAGGTGTTTCATGAGGCTTCACCACCCAGCCCTGATCAAATCAGAGGAACAGAACAGAACCCAGAGGTGACCATGTAATGAGGAGCACCCACCTCCACCCCAACTCAGCATGAACTGCACCAGTCACCAAACCCAAAGAGCAGGGCAAGTTTTGACAGTGGGCTTCACAGATGGGTTATGTGAGGACTGAAATCATTAGTGAGGCTGAATTTCATTTCTCTCTTGCCTTAGATTGGCCCAAACCATTCTTAAAGCAACAAACTTCAATCTGCTGACTTCATGATAAATAGAAGCAGCCCAAAATGAATTTAAGAAAAAGTTTTGACAGTGGGCTTCACAGATGGGTTATGTGAGGACTGAAATCATTAGTGAGGCTGAATTTCATTTCTCTCTTGCCTTAGATTGGCCCAAACCATTCTTAAAGCAACAAACTTCAATCTGCTGACTTCATGATAGATTAAATAGAAGCAGCCCAAAATGAGTTTAAGAAATTCTTAGCACATCAACCTATTAACAGCAAGAAGTTGAAAGCAGGAGTAGCAGCTTATTCTCAAATGTTTTTTCCACTCCCAGCTTGTCTCTCTTTTTCCTTCCTACTTTTTCTGGTACAGAGGCAGGTTTTCCCCATGGGACTGCTCAGCTCCAGAGTAACACAACCTCCTTAGTGGACCTGTAGTACCTTTAAACATCTTCACACAAATACAACTTCCCTTTTAGGTCACCACCAATTTCCACAATTAAAATCAAAAGAGAAAAAACCTCTCTTTGAGGACCAGGAGAAAGTCACACCTCAGACTTCAACAGCTGAAAGGTTAAAGCCCAAACTGCTCCAGCAACATGTAACTCCAAACACTGCTTCAAGCTGTCTTTACTATACCTTTAACATCAGGATCATCTATGTGGGGTTCCAAATTTTCTATCATTTCCTCCAATTCTTTCCTTGTTGCCATAGGAATGTTTGAAGATGCTGGCATGGTGAGTTCCTGAATCTCTCTGTCCAGTACTATCTCAGAAGCCTGCTGAAGCTCCAAGTCAATATCTATTTCAGGAAGTGGAGTCCTCCAGAAATGGAAAGAGTTGTACAATTCCTGCTCTGAAAGAGAAGTCTCCTGGGAGCTCAGGCCAGGCTCCCTCAGACCTGCTGTGTGGCAAGGAGAACCTCTCTCCTGCTCATCAGCCATCTCCCCATGGGATTCTGAAGACAAAGTGCAATGGAAGGGTGACTCAGTCTGGAAACCACTTTCCCTCAGGGAGTTATTTGACACTGTATTTTCATCTTCAATGGTATTTTCAAGTTTTGTTGCAAAATCAACGTGTGGAGACAAATCCTCTGTCCTGCTGTGCTCATCCTCTGTCGTAACATCTTCTGCAGTCCTGACTTGTTCCCTGTGGAGTGCCAAAGCAAACCAACATTGAAAACCCCAAATATACTCCTTGCAAACAGATGCTCTTGAAAAAATTCACACTCATGCTGTTGGCTTGTTATTTATTGAGTTAGATTTACTTCCAGCCCAGAGAACTGCCCTGTGGAATCACCGAGGGGCTGAGGCTGGAAGGACCTCAGGAGGTCCTCTGCTCAAGCAGGGACACCCCAAGCTACCTGCCCAGGATTGTGTCCAGAGGGATCCTGAGAGTTTGTACACACTGATGAGATCCTCCCTGAGCCTTCACTTCTCCAGCCTGAGCAGTCCCAGCTCTCAGTCTTTCCCCATAGGGGAGATCCTTCAGTCCATCACCTTTCAGCCATTCCTGGAATCTCTCCAGCATGTTCATGTCTCTCTGATAATGGGGAGCCCAGAACTGGACACAGAACTCCAGCTGTGGCTCAGCAGGGCTGAGCAGAGAGGAAGAACCACCTTCCTTGAGCTGCTGGCAACACTCCCCCCCAGTCCAGCTCAGGATATCACTGGCCTTCACTGCAAGGGCACATTGCTGGCTCATAGTCACCTTGATGCCCACAAGGACCCTCATGAACCTACTTTGCAAAGCTGCTCTTTCCAGCCAGACCCCAGCCTGTACTGGTGCCTGGGGTTGCTCCTCCCCAAGTGCAGGACTTCCCTTGCTGAACCTCAGGTGGCTTCCAGCCCATTTCTTCAGCCTATTGAGGCTCCTCTGGATGGCAGCATGACCCTCTGACACACCAGCCACCCCTCCCAGTTCTGCATCACCAGCAAACTTGCTGAGGGTCCACCCTGCTCCACCATCCAGATCATTCATGAAGATGTTAAGCAGGACTGGACCCAATATTGACCCCTGAGGTCCATGCCCAGTTATTGGCCTCTAACTATCACCCTCAGGGCCAGGCTTCTGAGGCAGCTGTCCATCCAGCTCACTGTCTGCTCATTCAGCCCATGCTTCTTCAGCTTCTCTGGGAGGACCTTACTGGGGACCATCTCAAAAGCTGAAGTCTAGGCACTGCTGTCCACTGCTCTCCCTTGTCTATCCAACAGCCATCTCAGTACAGAAGGTATATCCTAAGCTCAGTCATATCCATCCATAGTCATGTAGTTTTAGTAACTAAATGAAAATTCTGGTAGTCTACAAAGATGAGAAGTTCCAGATCTTTCCATTGACCACAATAAATATTCAGTTTATACAGGAAAAGTTAATTTTCTTAACTTGCAGTTCATACAGAAGAAAAACAGGGAGGGGAAAAAAGCAGTGTAGATGGAGCAAATTCTTCACCTGTTTTCCTGTGCAGAACCACCATCTTCTGGGTTTTTACCATCTTCTTCTTTGAAGTACTGGCCACTGCTGGATGGATTAGCAAAGGTTGATATGAAAGGCCCCAGGGACTGAAAAGCAGCTTGGCGGACCTAGGGGAAAGGGTCCAAGGGTAAAAAATCAGATATATACACACACAAACTTATATCTACCTAAATATATACATATATATACCTCTCTCTATATATATATCTCTCCATCTTTCTGTCTTATAAATCACAAATGCCTGCTACTAGGAACAGGAAGGGTCATAAGCCTGCTAAGGACACCAAGAGTAGAGGCTCCTCCTGTCAGCCAGCTGCATAAAAAGTGCTAGTGAAAAAAAAAGAGTTAAGAAAATGCAGGGTAAAACCAGTTAAATGATAGGTAACCAAGCTGACAGGCCTGTTCCCCACAACCAAGGAAATCACAGTTATATAGGTAACAGAATGAGGGAAATTTGAAAGTTCAGCTGAGAATTTAAACAACTTGGAAGGAAAGAATGATGTAGAGGGAATCAACATTTCACTGCCATGAGTTTGACTTGTTATAAGCTTTCAGTTCTTTTCCCTCTCCTGTTTGACCATGTCATTCATCTGCTCCTTCCTCCTGCTGCTTCTTCTCCCCTTCCCAACAAATATCTACCACCAGTTTTGTTATTTGATTCATTCTGCTGGGCTACAACTTGCACAACTTTGAAGGACCCAAGAGCTCGTGCTCCTGGTGCAAAAGATCTACTTGTGGCTCTTGGAAATCTGCTCAATAACAAACCTTAACAAGGTTTGAAGAGTAAATCATCAGGACAAAAGAAAACAAAACAAAAAACCTAGAGAACAGAACAAAAAAAAACCCCCACAAAAATACCACCCAAACCAACACCAAACCAACCCAAACCCAGTTAACAACCACCACCACCCCTCTTGCCCTCAAAAAAGGAGGTGGTGGTAGGAACCTGAAGAAATACAAACAAATCACCTCTCATTATCCAGTTTTGTTATTGCTCTTCAGCAGTGTTAAGTCATGAGAAAAGCTGGCAAAGCTCTCCTTGCATACAGTCACAGAATGGGTTGGAAGGGGCCTTAAAGACCATCTAGTTCCAACCCCACTGGACATGGACACCTCCACTGGACCACACTGCTCAAAGTCCCATCCAGCCTGGTCTTGAACAATTCCAGAGATGGAACATCCACAACTTCCCTGGGCAACCTGTTCCAGTGTCTCAACACCCTCACAGTGAAGAACTTGTTCCTAATTTCTAATCTAAATCTCTCCTCTTCCAGTCTGAAGCCATCACTCCTTGTGCTATCACTCCAAGCCCTTGGAAAAAGTCCCTCCCCAGCTTTCTTGTAGGCCTCCTTCAGATACTGAAAGGCCACAAGGCCTCCCTGGAGCCTTCTCTTCTCCAGGCTGAACAAGCCCACGTGCTGCAGTGAAAACATGAGGGACACTCCATACCCACTGACAAACTAAGGAGTCCAAAAACTTTCCCTGAGGTACCCAAAATGAGTTGTGTTCTCCGCGCTCACGGGGAGAAGTTCTACCCAGAGTACTGCAGTAAAACCCTTTAAAACTCAAGAAATAAAAAGCCATTCTTACCCATCGTGATGGATCACTGATCAAATTAATAAAAAGGGTGGACAGCTTTGTCCTCCTGACTTCCTGGGAGGTGGCACAGGACACTGCCATGAAGCACTCAGCACAGGCCTTCCGAACCCCCCACACGTTGTCGGAGCAGAGCTGGAAGAACCTTGGCAGCTGTTAGGAACAAAGGTGGCAAGTTTGAACAGGCTGTGCTGGTTTCAAAGCAAGTTCCTTCTTCTTTTTCCACCTCCCCCAATTCATTTCCTTCCTCTGGGTCTCTGCTGCCCTTGTACTTGGATGAGGTTTCACATTGCAAGGCAAAGAACAGGGGTTGAGCAGCACCAACCTTCTCACGATACTGAGAAGAATTCTTCTGTTGTCTGAAGAAGAGCAAGAAAGTGCTAAATTTCTAGCCTGATATATATAAAAAGCCAAAGAATTCCAAACTCAATTCCAAAAATACCCCCAAGCACAGAAAACCTATCAGAAACCAAACCCTCATCCCTACCCCATTCTTTTAAAGCAGGTAACACTGGAAGGAACACAAACACAGAATACTGATGCATTAGTGTTTTACCTGCAGAGACCACTGCAGAGTTTTGTTAGATTCTCACTAAAATGCAAAGGAAGAGCATCTTCAGAAAGAAAGAAAACCTTTCTCTTCCACCTAAACTTCTGGGTGTTAAGATTTACCAGTCTCTGCCACAGCTGCCCCACAGTCCAGGGCCTGAACTGCACAGAGGAACAGGGGCATGAGAGAATTGCTGGTTAATGACCTAAGACCAGCAGAAAATGGTTATTTCCTGTTATGGGAAGAAAGCTCCAACTGCCCAGCCACACATCATTCCTTTCAGATAGAAATTGCACCACTTTTTCATTTCATAGTCTAATTGCAGCCTTTACAAAGTTCTAATCCAAATTCATAAGACATATTTCCCATTTGTGTGAGAGAATCCATTTGCATCCCCAGTCAAGAACCACGTGGGATGGAAACCTGCACAAGGAGAGCTCTTTATTTTCTCTGCCTTTCTTCTCCTCCTTCCCAGGAGGGCTGCAAGTATTTGTTAGAGTTGGGAAAACTGACTTGAAAAAGATCAGGCCCTCATCAAAAGATTGTCCCCATCTTTCCTGTAGGCCCCCTGGAAGTCCTGGCAGGTCCCCAGCAGGTCTCCCCAGCTGGAGCCTTCTCCTCTCAGCTGCCCCAGCCCAACTCTCTCCTGCTGGGCTCCCAGCAGAGGGGTTCCCCCCTTGGGGCATTGCTGGGGCTCCTCTGCTGATTCTCCCAGCTCTGGAACTGAGCAGCCTGTAGCTCTAGGCTCTCTTGACTTGGCAAGTAAGAGTTCTGTACTCACTTGAACTGCCTTCAGGATTCTGTGAACATGACTCACAGCCTCACATCAGCAAAACTGAAGAGTTGCAGCTTTTCTACTCTCTCCTTACTAAAGGAATGTAATAGTTGGCTAATAATTTTAGCTGCCCTTGTCCAGCTCCACTACTGACTTGTATCACAAAGGAAAATCCTTTAAGAAATGACTTACCAGCATTTCTTCAGTGGCTTGCTGGCCAACCACACTGCAGATATCTCCAAAATTGGCTGCGCATACCTTGGAGACAAAAATGTAACAAATAACCACTAAGATCATTGTTTTCATACAGCAAACAAAAGCAAAGGGAAAAAATAAACAGTTCTGCAGTTCAAGCTTAATTAGTTGGGGTTTTTTTTCATGAAAGAATCACCCTAGAATTTAAGTGAAAGGAAGGAAGATAAAACACATCCAAGTGCTGTCAGATGAAAGACTACAAGCAGCTCTCAAGGAAAATGAGGTGTGCAGTGGTGGGGTGAAATCAGAACACAGCCTCAACACCCCAACCCCATGATGGAGTGGTGGTTTATTTCATCTTAATGAGCATCTTGAATTCCATCTGCACCCAGAGATATGAGCTCAGGTGGCCAATGCTGTATCAGTTACAGCTGGTTCCCATTTTTGTGGCTATCAGAGGGACAAGCAGATTTGCTCTTTGAGAAGAGAAGTAGGGAGGGACTCTGGGGAAAAAAAAAACAAATCAGTGGAAATTTGAGGTGAACCCCCCCCCAGCTTTCACCCATCTATGTCACAAATGAGATGTAGGAGGAAAAAGTCATTTAGTGAAGGGTAAGACCCTCTCACAGCTCATGCCACCCAGCAGCCCCGGGTCCCACCTTGCGGACGTGGAACATCCTGCAGTCACAGCACATCTCACAGAACCTGGGCAGCACCAGTCGTTCTGTGATGTCCTTTCCCACCATGGAGGCCATTTTGCACATGATCTAAGCAAGACAGACACTCATCAGGGATGCACACACACCACACAATTCCCTGCTGGTTAAGCAGAGGCTTTACACCTTTCATTTTCATTTCGAGGCACGTAATTTTATTGAAAAGAGTGGAAAATATTGAAGAAAAAGTCATAGTTTAAATTAAAAAGCTTTGGCTGCTTCTGTAAAAAGGGTTTTGTCTTTTTACCCTCCTGTCATGACTGTAGAAGACATTGGTTGTTCAAACTAAATCAAATTCCTGAGAGAACTGAACTCTCAAATTACTCTATCCAAACAGACTTACACAAACCCAAGCACAAGATTCTTTCACTATTCCAATACTTAATGAATGCAAATATTGACAATTCACAGAAAATTATTAATGATTAATATGCTTCAGAAGCTTCTACCACTTCTGTATGGTTTAAAAGTTAATTACAACACTTTATATTGTGCACATTCAACTCCCTAATATCAAATTACCAAAAAGTTGTATCAGCAGCAAAAAAAGAGACAGCTTTTCCCTCTAACTGCTCTTTCATTCTGATTTTTACTACAACTCCCCCAAAAAAGAAGGTAATCTAAAAGAATTTTGTGGTTAACTTTCCTAATCATATCAATTGACTAATAAATTCATTCTCCTGTAATAAATTTCTGTTCTCCTAATGTCTAGGGGGGTCAGGGAGCTACAGACACCTTTGCCAAGTTTTAATATCTTTAAAATAATGAAGAGTAAAACTATTCTGCTTGGAATTTTATCCTGGATGCATTTGTAAGCTTTTTCAAGGAGGTACCAGGAATTTGGTGCCAAAGGCAAGAGTGTCCAGCCTGCTTAGTGTTTATGAATCCAGGCATATTATGAAAGTAAAATATTAATAAAGTCTCTCTCCAGCAAAAACAATTTAAAAAAAGTAAATTTAAAGTCACCCAGCAAAAAAGCATCAACATAAATGGCAAAAAAATCAACAGAAGCATGAAGTTGTACACATTATAAAGGAGAAGTGGCAGCACAGCTCATTAATTTGCTTACTATTTTAACTTGAGTTTATTAAGGTTGTGGCTAATGGAAAAAAGAAACCCACCAACCAACGATGAACTCTTCAACTCAGCTGCTTATTATTTTGCCCAAAATCCATGAGGAGAACATTATTATAAACCAAAATCCACGAGGAGAACATTATTATAAACCAAAATCCATGAGGAGAACATTATTATAAACCAAAATCCATGAGGAGAACATTATTATAAACCAAAATCCATGAGGAGAACAGACACACAGCAAAGACCAACAGCACTCAAGCATTAAAGGTTTATTCCACCCATGGAAATTTTCTACATATGCAATTGAAACTCCCATAAAACCACCCAACCTGAAAAAAAACCTAAACAGCCAAAACCAGCAGAAGCTGTAGGAGTCAGTGAAATGAATGCCCTGGGCTGCCTTCTCCAGCTGGGTTTTTCAACAGCTCATATAGGCTGTAAAGAATTGAAATCTTAACTCTGCCTGGAGCATAACACAGCAGGGAAAAAAGGGTTAGTTCTGGATAGCAATGTCATTTTTTTTCCCCCTCTTTAACACCCTGTGGATGTGCAGCCTGGAAAGATGACTGCCATGGGAGTTGTTTAAGCAAGGTTTACACCAGGGGGTGTGGAGCTGCTGGTACTTACAGCCACAGCTTCTGTCTTCACGTCGTCGTTGCTGTCGGGAGCCGTCAGGTCGATGAGGACAGGGCACACTTTGGTCTCCACATCATATCTCTCTATGAGTTCTTGCTCCAGCAGCACCAGCAGTGCTGCCTGGCTTGTCTTCCTGACCTAATACAAAGAGGCAAAAATAGAATCAAGGAATTCATGGAATTGTGTTTCGTTTTGGGGTGTTTTTTTTTTAGTTACCTTGTATTTTGGAAGCTGTCCCTATACCCTGCCCTTGGAGAGGACAAGTGTTCCAAAAAGCCCTTCTGCAAACACTCCATATTTGACACACACCATGTCTGAAGCCCAGAACACCCACACATTGTAAACCAAGGTAATGCTGTTATCACAGTGGCCACCTACTTCCCAAACCACAGGACAATGGCCAAAGGAGCAGTCATGGCAAAGCTCGTGCAATACTTGAAGCAAAGCAGCACAACTAATTGGGAGCAACAAAGTCCTAAGGAATGTGAATATTCTTAAATCCTCTTTTTCTGAGATTAACAAGTCTGGCTGACAATGAATAACTGTTTATTTCAACTGGTTTTTAAACTGAGACACAATTTTGTTTAGTCTTATCTTAAAAAAAAAAAGACTGTACTAAAATAAGATCACCATTAGGTCACAGGAACTGTGTCCAGCTCCAGGCTCCCTAGTTAGGAGAGACCAGGAGCTACTGGAGAGAGTCCAGTGGAGGCTGTGGAGATGCTGAGGGGCTGGAGCATCTCTGTGCCAGGACAGGCTGAGAGCCCTGGGGCTGTTCAGCTGGAGAAGAGAAGACTCAGAGGGGATCTGAGCAGTGCTGAGCAAGAGCTGAAGGGCCCCAGGGGTCAAGAGGTTGGGGCCAGAATCTTGTGCCCACTGATAGGACAAGAGGCAATGGGCACAAAATGGAACCCAGGAGGTTCCATCTGAGCAGGAGAAGAAAATTCTTTGGTGTGAGGGTGCAGAGCCTGGAGCAGCTGCCCAGAGAGGCTGTGGAGTCTCCTGCTCTGGAGAGATCCCAAACCCTCCTGGCTGTGACCCTGGGCACCCTGCTGTGGGTGAGCTGCTGGAGCAGGGGGCTGGATGAGATGATCTCCAGAGGTCCCTTCCAACCCCACCATGCTGGGATTCTGGAATTAATCACCTGACTTCATATCTGGCTAATCCCAGTCTCTCAAAAAAACGTAGTTTTATCAGAAGAGAAAACATGCTGGGCAACAAAAGGCTACAGACTGCAAGGCAGCAGTTTTGAAAACACCTTTGAGATCTTTGGTTTGGAGCAAACCAGCCCAATAAGCTATGGAAATTCAGAGCTTAAGACAATCATTGACTTCATTACCAAGAAAGCATCAAGCAGAAGTAGGCTCTTGTATTATACATGAATTAGCAAAACAGCTACTAAAAACAATAGGTCTGGGTACCACCTTAATTATGGAGAACCTGGAAAGGGCAAGGAAAATATAAAGGTGACAAACTCAGAGGCTGAAAATACTTAAAATAACATAGCACCCACCATCAGCCTGGTCTGAAATGATGTGGAGAAGCCTAAAAAAAAGTTCTAGGAAAACTTAACTCGGACACATGGAGAAACAAACCACCCAGGTTCAATCCAAAAGCTTTCTAGGACTAAGATGCAAATATCTGGGTATGGTGTTAAAAAACTGAATTGTATCAAAGGGTTAGTTTTTCATGACTAGTGTTATTTTTTGTAAGAATTTAAGTTATATAAGCTTATCAAAGGGACTGTTTAATTTTGTCCATAAGGATATAACACCAGATAAAAGGCCTCAGAAATCAGAATAGATGCCATTAGATGAAAAAAAACCTGGAAATTTTCTTTACTTAGAATCATAGAATCCTTTAGGTTGGAAGGGACCTCCAAGATCATCAAGTCCAACCCTTGAGCCATTAGGGCTCTAAAGTCCTCTGCCAAAACAGATCAGAATCTGTCAGGGTTGGAAGGGACCACAAGGATCCCCCAGTTCCAACCCCTCTGCCATGAGCAGGGACACCTCCCACTAGATCAGGCTGCCCAGAGCCTCCTCCAGCCTGGCCTTAAAGACCCCCAGGGATGGGGCCTCAACCACCAACCTGGGCAACCCATTCCAGGGTCTCACCACTCTCCTGGGGAAGAACTTCTGAAGTTCAGTGTCTTGTATTTTATATCCATTCAAAATATTTTCACCCCAAAATATGACATGCTGGTCTGACAGCAAATTTAAATCCCTTTAGCATCCCAGCAGGTATATTCAGCTGGCTAAGGAGCTCTCTGTAGGAGACTCTTACCTGGTTGTTCTGGTCGGCGAGGTATCGCACCACGATGGGCAGTAAGTATTTGGAGAAAGCATAAGGGATGGAGGGTCTGTTCTCCTGGCAGAACATGGCAATGTGAGGCACCTGCTCCATCAGCTCTGCCCGCACCGTTGGCTCTGCCAGGGGCAAAAGAAAACCCAAAAAAGTCAAAGAAATGGCTGTGGGTTGACTGCCAGAAGAGCTTTTCACATCCTGGGGGTGTGTTTATGTCAAGTTTTGTGTTGACAAGCAGCATCTTCTTGCAAAATGAGGTGCAGCTACACTCTGCCCTGCTAGGCTACTAAGATGTGTCCCATGTTGTCAAGAAAAACCCAAGATGACCTCCAAACATCAAGAGTATCAGGATCTGAGCTCCCCAGGAGCATCACCTCATTCAAAAAATCCTGCTAAGCAGAAAATCAACCCAAAATTGGTACCACAAGAAGAAACAAAGTGAAGGGGGCTCCTGGCCAGTGTCTCCTGGGAGAGCTCCACTGAGCAGGACAACCACAGATGCTCTTAGGTCATTCTTTGCTCTAAAAGGCCACTGATATTTTCATCCCAGGGAGAAGATCCAGGATCTTTCCAGTTCTTTCTGTTAAACCTTTCAGGTGTGTTTCTCAAAGAAATATTTCATTCATTTTTTAAATCCAGGGGTCAGTGCACCCCTTGAATGAATCTTAATCCTCCCTCCAACATCTCTTTGGGGTATAAGAGGAGAAGCAAGAGAAGAAATATAAGTGTGGATTAAATTCCAACTTTGAAAAAATCAGCTTCAATTCAAGAACTATTTCTGTCTTTTTATGACCAGAATCATCCTCCTTGGAGTATTTGTAATCCAGATGAGACATTACAAGCACTGTCTCTTCTTAAACAGAAGCACATAACTGGCATTTGTATTTAACAGGGCTCCTGAACAGTGGTTACAAGTGACAACTTAGGCCTGAACAAAAGGAAACAAAGCAAAAGGACAGTTTTGATTGGAAGAGACTCAAAAATCCTCAAGTCCAACCCTTCCCCCAGCACTGCCAGGTCCCCACTGCCCCGTGTCCCTCACCCCACATCTCCACAGCTTGGAAACCCCTCCAGGGGTGGGGACTCCACCACTGCCCTGGGCAGCCTGGCAGGGAAGAAATTGTTCCTCAGGTCCAACCTCAACCTCCCCTGGGGCAACTTGAGGCTGTTTCCTCTTGTCCTGTCCCTTGTCCCTTGGGAGCAGAGCCCGACCCCCCCCTGGCTCCAGGCTCCTGTCAGGAGCTGTGCAGAGCCAGAAGGTCTCCCCTGAGCCTCCTTTGCTCCAGGCTCAGCACCCCCAGATAAGACAAGCAACTAAAGGAAAGGAAGACTGGAACTTGCTGGACAAGAAACTGGAGTGAGGGCCCAGTGCCAGGGCTGGAGGGACTCACTCCCACCTTTCCCCATAAGGTGCTATTCCAAGACATGCCCAGGACATGATCTAAGGGTACAAGAGGCTTATGTCACCACATTTATCACCAGGATCTTGTTCTCACTTCTGAGGACTCCTGCCTCATTCCTTGCAGCAGATAGAAGATGACTTATCGGGGAGGAGGGGGCAGAGAGAAGGTAGAGGGAGGAAGATAAATTTGGCTGAGGCTGCATCTTTGGCAACAGTGCTTCTTAAATGGTTTCTGGATTTGCTTCAGGCAGTTCCCACCCTCCCAAACCCCAAACCTGTGGCTTCCATTGTGCCAACACAACCCTTTGTGGAGCCAGACAACAAAGAGTGTGAAAGACCTGACGTGGCTGACACAGCTCCTGCCCCACCACAGCAAGGACCAGCACTTCCACTGCCTCCCCTGGGCCATCACACATCTCCCTCAAGTGGCAGAACAGTCTGATGAGGGAAGCAAGTGGGAGAGGGCTCTGGGACTGCTTCCATCAACACTTGCTGCTGGAGAAATGCCTCCAGTGCAGGCAGAGCCAACAGGAGCTCTGCACTGAGCCCATCTAGAGCTACAGATGAAGCTTTGGACACTGGGCACCCAAAAGGGGCAGATTGGTTTGGCTTTGGGAACTCTTATCCACTGGGAAAGTAACAGCAATGCTCTTTCTCCCCAAATCCACCATGTTTGCTGTGACATTGGGTTCACAGATTTCTTCATGAAGCACTCCAGTAAGAGAACAATGAACATCAAAACCAGAAGATCCTTTTCTTCTTCAGAAGAGGGTTCATCTATTATGCAGCACGTCAGTGAGTGGCCTCACCACCTGCCAATATCAAAGGGCTGCTCGTGTAAAGTGAGCCCACTTCTTCCTGAGCTTCTGCACGAGCTCTGGCTCTGTGAGGAACACAGACAGAGGAGCTGATGCAATTAAAGAGCTGAAAAATTCATGCCCAGGAATGAAATAGAACTGTAAAGTCACCTTAGTTCTTAGATTCGTAGTGAAAGGACAAGAGGAACAGCCTCAGGTTGCACCAGGGGAGGGTTAGGATGGACATGAGGAGAAGTGTCTTCCCCCAAAGGGTTGTCCAGTGGTGGAGTCCTCATGGAAGGGTTTCCAAGCTGTGGAGATGTGGTGTGAGGGACACAGGGCAGTGGAGACCTGGCAGTGCTGGGGGAAGGGTTGAACTTGAGGATTTTGAAGGTCTCTTCCAACCAAAGCAATTCCATGACTCTGTGGTTCAGTTCCCCAAGTTTGAAGTCATGGCTCTGCCATCCCAGTGGGGTGAATCCAAACCAGCCCAACGAGGGCTGCAGCTGGCTGTGCAAGCCACACCTCCTCTCCCTCTCAAAAAGGCAGCTGTGCCCTGCTGGGGAATCACTGCTGCTACACAAGAACCCAAACCTCCAGCTTACCAACTGAGACAGGAGCTCAATCCTTCCAGCTGCTGAAGAACACGTTCTGCTGTCCATCAAACCCAACCCACCCATGCAGTCTGAGCTGCCAAGTCAGTTTAAGCTTTTCTGGGGGTTTTCTACCCCAAATTTAGGGCTTGGCCATGAACAGAGCATGGCAGCATCAGTTAAAATTGTTACACACAGCTTCTTAATGCATAAACTCATCCAGCTGGACTCTGGTTTTCACACTTCACAATAGTCAGGTCCAGGCTTTCTCACAGTTTAAACAAAATGTGGGTGGAGATTTTTTTGCTTCACATCAAGACTGGAAGCTTCTATTTTAGGCACCCTGGAAAAATCCCTGCAGACAATTAGGTTCCTGTAGCATTTACTTGGAACACTGGTTTTCCACAGAGGAAGTATTTTCAAATGCTGTTCTTTACAAACTATCTCCTGAAGGCACAAGTCTATGCCTTAAACTAGCAGGGGACTAGAAATAAAGTTGCAACTTGTCAAAACCAAAATAAATTGAACTCAGAAGCAAACTTGTACTTGTTTTCCTCATTCATTAGCACTTTGTTTCATGCCCCAGGTCTTGTGTATTCTCCAGACACAGAATTTTACTGAATTGAGTAAAACTAAGAATGAAAGAAGTGAAAATGGACTTTTAGTTGTTCTGTTTCTGACATAACTTTGAAAAGAAGGTGCCAGAACAAAATGACACAGTTCTGCCCCTCCATTTCTAGACCACATGAAACCAGACACACATTCCAACCAACACCTCCAGAATCTGGGCAGATTTTGACCTGTACACCCCAAAATTCAGATTTAGCTCTTTCACAAATCACTGTTTAAAGGTTAAAAACACCTATTGTGGTTTTCATTCAGCACTGAGTGAGAGGTAAAGGTGTCAGTGCACAGTTTGGCCTTTACACTTTCATTCTTTAGGAATAAAAAAATTGGTGAAAGGTAAGTGAAAAATACTGATTTAACCACACTAGAGGGAAACAAGCAACACAAACACCTTCATAATCTCTATGTATAGATACCCCTGTGCACAGCCTGGGGAAGAGAAGGCTCCAGGGAGACCTTTTGGTGGCCTTTCAGCATCTGAAGGGGGCCTACAAGACAGCTGGAAGGGACTTTGTACAAAGGCTTGTAGTGACACAAGGGTGATGGCTTCAAATTGGAAGAGGGGAGACTTTGACTAGAAATTAGGAGCAAGTTCTGGGTTGTGAGGGTGATGAGACCCTGGAAAACATCACCCAGGGAAGCTGTGGATGCTCCACCCCTGGAACTGTTCAAGGACACACTGGATGGGGCTTAGAGCAACCTGCTCTAGTGGGAGGTGTCCCTGCCCATGGCAGGGGGTTGGAACTGGGGGATCTTTAATGTCTCTTCCAACCCAACCCATTCTATGTAGGAAAAGCTGGCACAGCTTTCCAGAGCAACAGAGCTGCCTGTGACTCAACATTGCTGAAAATCAGTAACAAAACTGGGCAGGGTGTGCCCAGCTGGCCAGGAAGGCCACCAGCATCATGGCTTGTGTCAGCACTAGTGTGGCCAGCAGGACTAGGGCAGGGATTGTCCCCCTGCACTCAGCACTGGGGAGGCTGCACCTCAAACACTTGGTTCAGTTTTGGGCCCCTCACTCCCAGAAGGACCTTGAGGGACTGGAGCGTGGCCAGAGAAGGGCAACGGAGCTGCTGGGGAAGGGTCTAGAGGCCAAGTGTGGGGAGGAGCAGCTGAGGGAGCTGGGGGTGCTGAGCCTGGAGCAAAGGAGGCTCAGGGGAGACCTTCTGGCTCTGCACAGCTCCTGACAGGAGCCTGGAGCTGGGAGCAGGTCAGGGGTGGCTCAGTCCCTTCTCCCAAAGAACAAGAGATAAGACAAAAGAAAACGGCCTCAAGTTGCACCAGGGGAGGTTGAGGTTGGACCTGAGGAACAATTTCTTCCCCTGGAGGGTTGCCCAGGGCTGTGCCAGGCTGCCCAGGGCAGTGGTGGAGTCCCCACCCCTGGAGGGGTTTCCAAGCTGTGGAGATGTGGGGTGAGGGACACGGGGCAGTGGGGACCTGGCAGGGATGGGGGAAGGGTTGGACTTGATGATCTTTAAGGTCTCTGCCAACCAAAACCATTCTATGATTCTATCTCTTCCTCCAAATTTCCCACCCTTTTGGAAGACAAAAGAAAATCTAGACCAGTGAAAATACACTTTAGCCAGAGCCCATCCCTTCTAGCTCAGGAGTCCATCAGAAAGACTGACATGTGCTGCTTCAGTTCTCAGCTTCTTCTCTCTTACTAACCAGAAATGAGCTTCAGAGCTGACTGGCAGAGTGAG